TATATACTGAAGACAAAAGACAACAGCACCAGGCATAGACCCAGGACAGGTGCTGTGGAAAAGCCTATCTCAGTGATGTCTGGGAATTTTAAGCTCTGGAGAAAAGCCTGAACTAAAATCAAGAATAACAAAGTCATTAGAATATACTCCTTGGCAGATTATTAGCTATACGTGAAAGTTCTGATAAAACAGGCTTTTAGACATTTTTTTAAATTTCAGACTTAAGGAAAACCTCCTATTAGCCATTTGTTGAACACTGCCATTTATTTTCATTGTTATCCCTTGCCATGGAGCCCAATTATTCCTTTGTTTTCTTATTCACATTTAGTTCACATTATCACAAATAAAATAAAAATCACAAGGATGCCATTACCCTTCAACATTTCCCCAATGTATAAATGCAAATTTGCATTAAATCCTTGAAGAAAGGTACAATGGGGTGAATGAAATGTCTTTCCATTAAAATTACTGTAAATAACAAAATAATTTTTAGTTCAACATATACACACAAAACTTTTTATAGTTAAATTGACCAAGGTGTTCTTATATATCTTAGATATACAATATTTAATATGTTTAGAGTAATAGTTACTTGAGAAGAATATAATCTTTGAACATATGACAGTAGTTTAAGAAGAAATAACTTCTATAAACTCATTTATCTATTTTGCCATTCACTCACTGGTCTAGAAATTTTACATACCATAACTGACGGGAAAAATTAGATACACAAATAATGAATGTTGCCGATACTTAGTGTAGTTCTCAAAGGCTGAAAACCTTTTCTAAAAATCAGTATTTGAAACCTGTCACTTTAGATAAAGGAGCCAAAACTTTAACTATTTTCACTTTAGTATAGGAAAGCTTTGAAACAAGTTCCTCTATGCACTCTAAGAAAGTTAATTTTAAAAGGGGGGGGGACAGGAAGAGTACCTTAATTTCCAAGAATATCAGCCTAAAAAGTAACTTTATAGGAAGACAATGTCTGAGTAACATTAAAAAGCAAGAGAAAAATAGTAATTAAAAATGTTGGAATTCCACAAATCTAGCACATCATAAAAATGACTCAAAAAGGGAAATTTAATGAAAAGATAAAAAACTAAAAGCAAACTCATTGACTAAGACACACACATTGCATGCAGTCACTCAACATTATATGCTGGCTGGCTTTGTATTTTCTTTTAAAACATAATCAGAACTTCTTAATGAATAAAACAATAAGGCTTTCAAGATACTCATGAAAAATTCTAATCAAATTTCACTCTACAGTAGTAATCTGTTAGAGTATTAGGCCTAAATAAATCTGTTATGTTAAATCAGGACTCAACGCGTGCCATTTTCCATAGCAGGAGTTATATAAATTACAAGCTCTTCCACGTTTTTGTTACTAGATTTGGTACACTTAAAAATAAGCAGTATTCTGCATCCAGAGTACTCTGACACAACTGTTTTTTATAGAATTTATAATTCATCCTAATGCTCAATCTTTACAAAAAAACCACAAAAGGATTTGCAATTGCTACTTACTATCTTGCACAGTAAAGTTGTGAGTATTTGTTCTGTTTTTAAATCCATAGGTTTTGCTCTATGAGGTTTAGGAAGCAACTTTATTATATCCTCTTTTGGTTGTTACTAATGATTTTAGCTTAAAGATCATTAATTTTAACACTAACATTCTGCTATATTCTCATTTGAGTTGTTCTATTTATCTCAAAGGTAGACTTTATGTATTACCATTACAAAAAATAACTATTTGCATAATACTTTATGATTTTACATCTATTACAAACACATCACAGGGAGCCTGAGGACGCATTCAGCAGCTTGTCATTCACCACTTCAAGACCCTCAGAACCAAACAAGGGGGAGTGTGACATTTTGCTGATGGAAGAAGTAAAGAAATGAATATAAATAAAAATCTTGAAGTTTTAAAACTGTAAAAGAAATTTTAAAAATACAAACAAAAATATGATCCACATGCACAAACAAGATAGTTTCAATTTGTAAAGCTCCATGTCCTCTATATAGAGCAAGGTGTTTGGAGATTTATGTATCTTCTATTATGACACCCACTTAAACTATCTAAAACTGTGCTACAAAAAACATAGGAAATTACCATCTCCTTGCTGGATTTTATAAATTAATATCATATTAAAATTGATTGCACCTACTTATAGAAGTCAGCTTTTCCTCAGCCTTGTGAAGTAACGTGGGTATCATTTCTTTATTACTCTAGCCTTAACCCTATAAAGATGCATATTTAGAATGTTTAAGAGGGAGATAATCTAACATGTTTAGAAATTATGTTGTTTCATGATTTCTTCTTGGTAAAACAATTACAAAGAAAATTGTTTAAGGCTTTTATGTTTTCTTCCATAACCACCAGTCCAGGTAAAAAATACTGAATGCTCAGTTATGTCACCTCTAGTCCAAATGCTCATAGCAGTTAAAGCTTTTTGTAAACAATATGCCTCTCTACTAAATACATATCTCTTGAGCCAGTTAACATTTTCTAATGTAGTTTCAAATGCAGTCTAACACCATCTTACACACACACACACACACACACACGAGCGTGCAGAAAAGGAAGGAGGTGGAGAGCAAGAAATGGAACACGTTGTTGTTTTTCATTCATGCAGTATAGTGATGTCAGTGTCTGCAGCAGCAGCGGCAGAAGCCTTGACCTGTGGAGGCTAAATCCACTGAAGTCAGAACCTTGCAGAATTCAAAAGAAACTGAGTAGATAAATTGTTCGAAAAACTGTTCAACTGTTCATAATATGGATTTTAAACAGCTAAGTAAGACAGAATAGATGAGTTGTACAGTTTTAATTTGGGTAGAGACAAGCAAGGCAGGATATGAAGAAGTAACAAAAAGGTAATATAATCAGGGAACTGGGGGCAGAAGAATCTGCATTCAAAATCACTTCGATGTAAGAAACTGACAAAATCACCTGGTGTGAGAAACAGCAGAAAAGCCTCTTCCATCCCCAACAGAAGCTCTCTGATGATGCAAATCCATCTGCTGCACAACCAGACTCAGAAAAGTGTTTCCATCATGATTGCATTACAACTGCATTAAACTCGGATGTGCTATACTACAACAAAGAGGATAGTTTAAGCCTGATCACAAATTTCATTAAAACTACTTGATGATGGACCATGTAATTCCTCAGCAATGAAGGCTTTTGAAGGATGCAGAAAAACAAGTTGTACTATGATATGCTGTAAGATGTTAGTGTTTATCAACAAAAGAGGAGGAGGTACTAGATGGCCATTATATTGCTGCAGAATTGCCGAAACTACTCTTACTCTGCCCACAAATTCCTCTGTACACAGTGTCTGCAATGCTTATTTTACGGCTCTTACATTAGTCCCTAAAAGAAAATCCCGAAACTCAAATCTATGCACTGTAGAAGCTACATCATTCAAAAATTTATGTAACTGCTGCCTTCTTTTCCTTCTGTTACCTCTCATTTCATATAGCTCTAGAAACTGTGCAAAGGAGTTGCATATGGCATTAATCTGTTAGAAAATGGTGGCCTTTTCTATAAAATACAGCCAAAGATGTGTGTTCAGTTGTGGTCATTATTAGGGCGATCACGTTGTTTTCATTCATTCATTCAGGATTTGCTGGAGGATGTCAGTTTCTGCAGCAGCTGGCTTGACCTGGGGGAGGAGTGAGGGAGCAAATTCCTCCTGATGCATACAGATTACAGGATGTGTTTCTTGGTACTCATGTACACATCCCACTGCACTACATCCTACTCTGCCTCACCATTGAGTGGTCTGAAAACAAGTGCCTTAGCAACATGCTAATTATAGGTCAGAAATAGTAAAACAAAAACACCAAAACTGCAATCTATTATAACACAATTGCTCTCTCCAAGTCTAAGACCTTCATCAAGAAAACTCCATTAAAAAAATTTCGCATACCACATAAACATTGCACAGAGCTCCACAGTGTTTCCCTTCCAAGCAGAGATTTTTCCACTCAGTATGATCGGTTCTCTCCACAATGCAGCAGCAGTAGCAGCATCTGTAGCTCTAGCCTAGTATCTAATAATATTAGCTACTCCACTCTCCCTTATGAGCTTTAAGTCCCTGTTTTGGCTAATCTTCCTTTTCTCCCCCAGGACTCAACCAGATCATGCACTGCGTCCCTAGACATAAACAAAACCAAACCAAAACAGAAAACATTAAGGGAAGCCAACAGCATCCACCAGCTCACCATTACCTTTGACACCTAACAAAAAAGAAACTTGAGATCATTTAACAGCTCGACTGCACTGTTAAGTGTACTTAAAAATGGAAGGAAAAAGTGAGCACATTCCATAAATCGGTCTTTAGAAATTTACCACGAAAATCTTGAGTTGGGCATAAATTGTTTCCAGCGCAGTACTGCTCTGATACATATGACTATATAGAGAAACAGGGAGACCGAAAAAACAAAAAAAAAGCCCTATACACTTCAACTGCACATCCAAAACTGTCCCCTCTACACATCCAACAGATATCCTTACATCGTTAACTAACGCCACCAGCCCTCCAAAAAAGAATAAGAAATTATCCCGGTGATCATAGACACGTTAGGAACTTTGTAGGCAAGCACAAAGGGGCTGCAGAGATTACAACCACCACCTTACTAGCTGCCTGAGAGTTTGTGTGCGTGTTTTTTTAAGTGTTTCACCCAGCTCCTCCTTCCCCCGCTACAAACTGCAAACACATGAGTGAGCTAATCAGCTCTTAAACTGAAAAACCTTTCGATGCAGGCGAGTGATGGAAGATAAAATCTGCGGGGCGGCAGGAGGGTCAAATAAAAGTTGCTTTGCAGTTCGCTCCTCCAAGCCCGGCAGCGACCGCGGGGGTTGAGATTCCCAAAGCCACTTTCACACCTTCGATAATGCACTAGCAAAGAGAAGCCCGGAGAGGCTGAAGTTTCCACGGAGGGCACCGTCGGGGAGACGCAGCCCGCGAGGACGGAAGGGTTGGGCTCGCTACCTCTGCACACGGGCGAGCCGGGGCTCCGTCTCTCAGGTGAGCTGCTCCTCCGCTGGCTCTCGGGGGACCGTCTCGGGCGGCCTTTGGCCCGCGGCGCCTGCTCGGTCGGTGCCGCGGCCGGCGGCGGC